TTTTTTTTATTTTGTGCAGCAATAAGAACACTGACAAAAACACTTTGACAGGCCAGACCATGCTTTTGTTTGGAGGAATGTGGATTTGGGGATTTTGGGTAAGGAAAGCAGTTGAATGCTTTAACTGAGGTTTAATGAGCTGTCCTAGTAAAAATATGAAAGACAATGGTGCTGATGGAGATTTGAACAGTGAGGACCTGGCTCAAGAGATTTCAGAGGAGAAAATTTTAGTGTGTGGCCTAGAGACTGTTCTTGTAATATTTGCTGCTTTCTGCTCTTGTACAAAAATTGGTCTGAGGCTAAATTGGGGAGTTTGGGTTTAATTGCATTTGCAGAGAAGACTTCAAAAAGTCTAGTGTGGACTAGATTGGTTATTAGTGGTCATTCTAATACAGATCTATAATGAAAAGGAGCTAATTGAGTGAGGAAAATTTTTTTAAAAATAATGTTTGAGGAGAAAAAGAACAATAAGAAGTGTAAAAGAAAAGCCTGATGATCAATGAATAAAGGGAGTGGTGACCTTATAACAAGACCCAACCCAACTAAGCTCCTAATTTGTGAAAAGAAATTAAAGTTTAGGGCTGGGTGTAGTGGCATGCTCCTCCACTGTGTCCAACACTCAGAAGGCAAAGACAGGTGGATCTCTGTGAGTTCAAGGCCATCCTGGTCTACAGAGCTAATTCCAGGACAGCCAAGTTTAGGCAATGAAGGAAATCATCAAACACAGAAAGCTGGTAAAGAAGTAATTGAGTGAGAAGGACATGTTCCAGCCCCAGAAAGTGGTAGAACTTGGCAGCTTCAGCCAGAGTCAAAGATAACAAGAAAGGGGTTATGAAATCTTCCTGTATGATGAAGGAAAGCCTTTGAAGCCAAGTGTGTGTCAGGAGTGCCTCTGCATGGAGGTCAGGCTTCTGCTCAGGCAAGAAGCAGCAAATAAGTGAGCTGAGGAGATGCTTTATACAGGATTTCTTTGCACAGGGGAGTGGAATTTTCAGGTGGGGATTTGTAGGATATTAAGTTTTGAGCTTAGGGATTTTACCTTGTAGTGTGGGACCTGAGTCTGGCTCTTAGGGCCGTTAGAATGTCTTGTGCGTAGAACCTGGTGGTTAGAGATCCTCAGGGGTAGTGTCTGCCAATTGCATGCCCAAGACTCTATCTGCCTCTGCGAGACCTCCAGGCAACGGGAGCATCCAGCCAACTCCAGGAATAACTACATGATAAAGGCCAGCTTAAGAACACAATCAACTCTTGTTGAAAACTAAAAATCTGAAAGCTAGAAAAAAGTAATTGAGTGAATGGGATATGTTCAAGTCCCACTAAGTGGTAGAACTTGGCAGCTTCAGCCAAGCCAGGGCAATCTGGCACCACCAGAGCCCAGATTTAATACCACAACAAGCTGTGTACATTCTAACACAGCAGAAGAAGTGGCCTTAAATCAAAAGATAGAGGCCTTTAAAGAGGAATTGAATAAATCGTTTAAAAAAATAAAAATACAATCAAGTAAAGACAATGAATAAAACTGCTCAAGAACTGAAAATGGAAAAAGAAACAATAAAGAAAATAGAAACTGAGGGAATACTAGAGATGGAAAACATAGGGAAGAGAACAGGAAGTACACACATCACCAAAAGAATACAAGGGATGGAAGAAGAAACCTGAGGTATTGAAGATATGATTAAAGAAACTGATATATCAGTGAAAAAAATGTTAAATTTGAGAAGTTCCTGACACAAAACATCCAAGAAATCTGGGACACTATGAAAAGACCAAAACTAAGAATAATAGAAATAGAAAAAGACTTCCAGCCTGTGGAGAGCTGCTTGTTTGTCAAGCTGCTTTGTTATTCATCGAAAACATGTGTTCACCCTGGCCTTCACTTTGAGAGAGAAAAAAAGGAAGTTTCGTCAAGTTCCTTAAAACTTGTTTGTGTGACCTTGGACCATATCTGCTACAGGGAAGTAGTTTTAGAAAACAAGTTTGGCTGTTTCACGAACTTCTTTCTTGTATTGATGTGTCTTGGTTTTTCTTTGTCTATAAAAAGGAATTGTGGAATAAGCTCACACTGCAGTCTTACTGATAGCCCTCTCAAGCTGATCCTGTCTGTAGTGTGATTTGCTTTAATTATTTCAGTCCTCACTCCCCACTCAGGAACTGTTCAACTCTGCAGCACACTCCAGCGCCAGCCCCAAAATTCCAGAAAATACTTGCAGCAAACTCATAGAAGAAAATTTTCTCAACCTAAAGAAAGAGACACTTATAAATGTACAAGAAGCTTACAGAACAGCAACAGAAACAGAATGAGAACAGAAGAGAAAATCCTCCTGCCACATAATCAAAACACTAAATATAGAACAAAGAAAGAATATTAAAAGGCCAAGTAACATATAAAGGCAGACATAGCAGAATTATAACCAACATTTCAA